GTGAAAACTAGTTCCAACGCACTTGTCAGTGAGCTAGATGGCCGACCAATCATCACGTCACACGGGTGGTGAAATTCCAGCGATTCACGACTCGGGGTCAGTCACGAAGGCATTATCACACCCCAGGGCAACCACCATCGGTGAGGGGGGAGGGGAGCAGCCACTAATTGTCATAGTTATGTGATAGCATAGCAACTAAACCCTACAAACACTGCCTCTCTTGGTTTATGAATTCACCCGCACCTGATGCTGATTATAGGTTCGAGCACGAATCAAACGACGTCGGGGGAACAAAGTTCTTGTTCCGGTAATCGTGTCAATTTATTCCCCGCTGCTTTCTGTGACTGGCACTTGTGCCTGCATCATCTATGAGGGTTTACTTCAAGATGCGTTGCCACCGATGAGTACACTATGCGCTATATAGGCCTCGTTCTTATCTTTCTTCGTTGATGAATGCTCACCGATCGCTAACTGAACTCGCTCGTCCCGTTATACCCTGGGGCTCATTCTCAAGCCTCCTCAGCTGCCGCACAGTGGCAACTAACGTAGGGTCACTGGTTAAAGCGTTCAACTTCAGATCGACAGATCGCAGATTCAAGCCTCGGATATTGCACCACCTCGGGTTAGGAATGGTGGGCTAATGATGACTAATGAGCCCGAAATTACCATTCCAGTCAACCTAGTCTTTTCCGGCAATGTTTATATCTTCTCCATCCTGACGCGCGGCTATCCAGTCAGAGTGGAATTGATTAGGGCTGCGCTTGGGCACAGTGGCCTGTGTGCCATGAAGCTTTCACCCTAAGCGCGCCCTATGAATGCAGCGTAATAGTTAAGGACTTGTATCAACCTCGTAGCCCAAAGTAAACAAACCAGGGGTGAATTTATCGCCAACTTTTCGTTTAATCCATCCATAGCAAGACCTAGTTGACTTGAAAGCAGCAGTAACCAGCCCATCTTTGTGTGGATTATATACTCTACAGCCCTAACGTAATGCACTACCTCAAAGTTGAACTCGAAGCCACCACAATTTTCTGATATTTCGATGCCTAGAGGATTTCGGCTCTTGGGAGAGGGAGGGTCGTTAATCGTTGCAAGTTGATCAAACCAGGAGCAACGATCAACTAGCCTCACTCGAGGTAAAACATACCTAAGGCAACTTAGTTAATCACGTTCGGCCTGGTCAGCACACACCAGCTCCACCAGATGTGCAGATTTTGTGGATGGGTAATCATCTAGACCAGGTTAAGCCGCCAGTCGTGGCCTCATTGCGGCTCGAGGGTAAACTACCACAGGAGGCTTAAAGTGCGATAAACACTCACCTTAACATGCTGCTTACTGGCATGGTGATAATTAGCGCACGGAGGGCCGAGTCTAGCAGTCAGTGAGCTGCACAAATCCTGGTAGGCAGACCCACGACCGGGGAAATGATTCAGTTTAAAAAGATGTGGAGGGGAATATTTTTTAAAATTATGGGGTACAAAAAGTATCCACCATAACATTCTTCTTAAGGACCGTATGGCAATCATTATGTTTTTTGAAGAATTCTAGGCGATATTTCGGCTCGATTTTAAAATTGAAAGAAATTGCTATTTTTGCCATATTTGAAACAAAAAATTTGCATGCTTAGTAATTAATGTGCATTCGTTCATAATCATTCCATACTTTCTTTCAGAGTATTGTTGTGACGTATGCAAATCCGTAAGAATGAAGATGAAAAAAAGAAGAAACGTGTTTAAAACGTCTTACATGAGTTAAAACTCGGTTATATTGTTTATCAGCTAGCCGCCAATATCGGCAGAGCATGGATAATCGGAAAGTTTGTGGGTGGTTTCAGAAATGCTGTAGTCTTGAAGAGGAAGGCCATGAACTCTTGAATATGAACTTTTCCAAAACTTTGCTGGAGAAGACTCACTTTAAAGCGTCAGAGACAATTGATGGAGGATATTTCAATAGTGCCCGAACATCTCATTAAATGAAGTAATGTAAAAGCGCTTGATAACTGGGTCCCGTGTGGGCTCAATGGAAATACATAGAATTCGTCGTTTAGATGGATGGTCGAAGCTCCCTGTCTGTGAAATGCGAATGATCATTTATTGGCCGAATATTGACGTTTGACTTAGAGTTTTCTATTAGAGCTTTATCGAGGCTAATTATAACATCACTGTAGAGGTCTACTGCGAGTAATTCGAATAAATGCATAGACGTGGACCAACTCCACTCCACAGCAACGTACGGCCGCGTGTCACATGAGTGAGACTGCCAAACGCAATAACTTAGGATAGGAGACTTTATACAATCCTCTCTACTATTCCTGATTTCGCATTCACTGGCTACCATTTCCCTTTTTGGCATCTAGACACTTTTTAGGTCATAAAAACTGACATGGGAGCTGGAGTTAAAAATTTCTTTGTATCATAACCAACAAAATTTTATCGAGAAGACATAAATAACTATGCAGTCCGAGCGATAGAATGAAGAAAATAAGATATTCTTCTGGAAAATCAAGATGTGCTTGTGAAACTTTGAGCTCGTGGCACGTGCTCTTCATCAGAGGAAATAAAAGGAAGTGAGAGAGTAAAATTACACTAGACAGTTTAAACCAACAGAACAGCTAGACCAGAAGCGTGTGAAGTGAGTCATAGTCTAGCTGTTCTGCTCGCTTAAACTATCTAGTGTAATCTTACTCTCTATCACTTACTTTTATTTCACCTGACGAAGCGATGGTATCACAAGCTCGAAACCTCATGAGTAAATCTTGATTTTTCCTAAACATCTCTTCTTTTCTTCATAAATGACTTTTTTAATCGATGACAGACATGCTTAGATGTTCAAGGCTAATAAATTCAATAATTAAAAGGTACGCAGTTAATTATGTTAAGGATGAATGTTTGTTTACTAATTCGGTCAGTAGTCACGAAACAACCTAATAATTAGACTACGTGCATGAATTGAACCATATACGGTTAGGTAACGGAAGACCGGTGAGTTAAAAATTAGTGAACGGTAAGCTGGAAGGGTGCTTACCGCATTTTCCCTATAAAATCAATTGTAGGTTATCACTAGTTGAGCCACAAAAGCCACAGATAGAGTTCTTCCGTTCCCGCAAATCTGTGTTCATCACCAAAGTCTCTTTAGGATAAGGTGTTTGAACAACGGGCTTGGAATTTGATCCACTTCCCCCACGGAGAGTCTTTTCCCAGGCGGCCGGACGAACGGCGTCTATCAGAGCAAGGTCTCACTCAAACCAAAACTTATTCCTAGAATTTAAAAGAAAACATTATACATGCACCAACTGTTCTCAAATTGTCTTCAACCATACTTACTTTCACAGAAGACCAGTAGATGTACACTTCATCCTTTGTTGATATGATGAATGCTTATGTTTTACGATGCTGTATTTTTTTACAAAGACATTCTGCTGAACGTCTTCTTGGCCATTGCCGTGGACAACCTCAGCGATGAGGACGATGAGTACGATGAGGACGGCAGTGGGGATCAACTGGATGACGACGGTGGCACTAAACAGGATGGGTAGGCAACTTCCCACCGTCTTTATTATTTACTCAGAGAATACATATTTTCCGTAGACGGACATTTTAAAAGTGTCCGTCAGTCCAGTGTCCAATCAGTCAGCACGACTGCCATGTAAGAACTCATGTTCTCGACAGTTCTCGAAAAATCAGTATCATGATGACCTGCTTAGATGGGTGAATAATTGATAATAAGAGGACAGTTTAGCACTCTTCCATGTTGGGTATATTTAAAAGAGCAAAATTTGGGAGTCATGGTGCACGTTTATTGATTGGTCTTCCCGTGGACGAATGCATTATATGCAATAAACTTTAATGTGCAGACCTCGACCATTTTAACTTTTACACATTAGAATGCTAATTTTTGCTCGGGCTTATCGTCAAACACCTCAGACACCAAATTATTTTGACAGTATCTCTCTCAGTCTCTTTCCATGAAGTTGTTCTAACGTTAAATGTATTACATGCTGCAAGTAAAGAGGCTATAAACAGCGTCTGGTAAACAAATTTTAAGCTTCTTCAATTGTAAATCTGAATACACAGGATAAATCCTAATTTGCTGTTTCATGATGCTTATAGCTTTTTGGGAATTAAGACCATGTTATTTTGCTAATAAAAAGCTCCCTCCTACGCTTGCTTTAAATGTGGCTAAGGAGGAGGAAGAAGAATTTGTAGTCTGCCCGACTGTATGCGGCGCTCCGCAGACAACAGTTGTCGTGAGATCTAATGTGGACAGGCTACTTGTTTACTAAAACATCTACGGGATTTGTTGCGATAATTGGCCTTTGGTGACAATTTTCCGTCCATGTGACGGTGTTTGTCGTACTTTTAAGTCGATCTGCAAATTCATCCTCACACAGTGAGGATCTTCTACAACCAGGGCCTATAATAATGTGTGTAATGCCCAGGTAATTGAATGAAGGACGAAAACCGTTCTTTGGGACAAATTATTTATTTGTCTGACGTTTTGAACTCCCACACGAACCCTTTGTCAAGGTAGAAATGGTTGTGCAGCTCAATGCATATTTAGCTCACTTCCGCCAGGAGTGCCCTTCAGCCCTGCCATTGATTTATTCGCGCAGCGCCTGAAAAGCAGCTGGAAGGTCGATATACCTATTAGTCGAATCCTTGCACGAGTGCCATGCCTCCTGCAGAAGGCGTGAAATTCGGTCGTCTGACTGACTCGGTCTTCTCACGCCTTCGAAGTCCAAGCCGTGCCCTTTCGAGGATGGATGGGTATCTACCAATAAGTATTATATAAAATAATACAAAACCTTGAATAAGGAATTGCATATTTAATTTTTTTATACTTAATCACACAGATGAAGGCCACTTTTCTTCACCTAAGATAAAGTAGGATAGACGAAGAGGAGATTTACTCCGCATATAGATTTCTCAAACAGGCAGTTGTTTTTTGTTGTATCACTCTCAAAGGTCGTTGTGTTCAGTGTTTAAAGATCATTTTAACTATCCTCTGCTCACTGATGCGCCCTATATTATCATCCCGAGCGAGCACTAGAGCGCCCTTACATATTTTTAAAACGACCAATTCCGGAACAGTTCGTCTTCTAAACTGCATAAAACTGACGAGGAAATATATGAAAATAATCGTACTAACCTTCCCGGGACCAGTAATTATCTTACCAACATTTCTGGAATATATTTTACGGCTAGAGGTTGCCGCACAAGAGTAAGAGGGACGGTCTCCTGCGAGCGTTCCCTATTCTGTTTGGATTGTTAAACACATATTTTCAATTCGCTGACGCATTTTCTTGCATATTCACGTTGATTTGTGGATGGAGCGGATTAGCAAATCCGACAGAGGCCCCTTGACTTTTGAGTGTTGTTCCAAACACATCTGGCCCATCGTCTTTTTATCGACGAGCACCAGATGCGATCTCTTCTTTATCAAAACCCGATATTTCTGGCGACGGTTCCTAACGCAAATTCTTTCCTTCAATTTGCAGAGCCAACGCAGCCAAAGAGAAATCCGCTTTGGAGTGTAAGTTTGCATGCTCCCCTCCTCCCTCATCCCTAGTGCATAGTTTATGATTAAATTTGTGGCTGTTGGCCCTGAGCTATAGTATGCATTTCTGACAGAGTGGAAGTTCCCCACCTTTTCGGTTTAGCGGACTTTCCTCAGAGATTTTCTGGGCTGGGTTTCAATGGGGAAACCGAGGCTATGCTCCAAGCCTTATTGATAATGCACCAGTCAACTGACCGATTCGCGGAGAGGCTGAGGTCTAGGAATGGAAACAGAAAATGACTTCGACGGCTCAATTCACGTTCCTCAGTACGAAATATGAAAGCTATCACCGCGGTGCGCAAAGGGAAGTAGCTTGCATGGTTGACAACTAATGAGATAAGTGGGTTCGCGCAGTCTGCCCAGTATGTGCTTGTATGCAGTGGCCGACGAGTTGACTGAGAGACAAGCGGTAGTTACATGAGCGGATAACTATAGTACGCACGCGGATGACCGATACGAACTATAAATACCGTGCACTCTGCGTAGTTATCACCACAATCTGCGCATATCTCATACTATCCTACGGTTACCTATGATTAAGGATTCTCGACAGACCCCGAAACTCGCCAAACTAGACTTCTGAATCCTCTGATGGGACTTTTCGCAACTCTAAAAGAATCCGAAACGTCATCAAAATAAAAGTATTGTTTCAGTGATCGAATCTTCTTCTTCTGGACAGTCTCTTTAAATGCAGCCTCTAGAGCTCTTACATTCCATTGAATTGAAGCCTACCCTATTTCCTCCTCCCCAGTCTAACGCCCTCTCCATATCGATCTCGCTGTGCGAGCGATGTAAGAAACGATGAGCTTTAATTATAAGACCCTTATAAATCCTGTTTAATCCTCCTATTTTCATTATCAGAGCGATTGTACAGGCCCGATAATTAATTGCCGGAAAACGGACATTTTCCAAGTAGAATTTTCAACGTCGCTTTTATTTCACCTATCGGTATTCTTAAAGGGGGTTGGCTGCGCCATAGTACTGAGGATCCAATATGTTTTTAGACCTCTGAAGGTAGTGTGTCATATCCAGTACAACGAAAGAATGTCCCTTGACCGCGGACATGGGACGATGCCTTTGTCGGCCTTGGGTTCACATAATGCATCTTATCGGATCATGCATAGCGCAGTGTGACCTATACATCATAAAGACTGA